TCCTTTGCTTCTTTCTCCTATGGTCCTTCTGCAGTATATTAGAAAAACAAAGTCATCATTATTATTTTTTTTTTCAAACACAGCTCTTGGCCTCTTTTACTGCATGAGATTTAACGTATTTCTATTTTACAGTCATAAAATCATTTCTATTCTGTTCCTTCTCAAAAGAGCTTTTAATAAAACACATTTTTATTGCTATGAACACATTATCCATGTAATAATATACAACACAGGGCCCAGTATACCTAAATGTACTGTAAAATTGTGTATTTATATTTGTTTATTTACTTACAGCAGCACTGGGATGGTTAAGCAACTATTAGTGAGTGTCACCTCCCACCCAGCCTAGTAAAATTATATATTTTAGTTTGAATCCTGACTAGCTTAATTTTACTCAAGGTATGATTCGTGTGTGGCCTTAAGAATGACTCTATAAGAATGTTTACTCATAAGGTTCAAGTGGCTCATACCTGTAACCCCAGCTACTCAAGGAGGCTAAGATCTGAGGTTTAAATAACCCTGGGGAAGAAAGTTTGTGAGACTCTCTCATCTCCAATTTACCACCAAAAAGCAGAAAGTAGGGCTGTGGCTCAAGTAGTAGAGTGCCTGTCTTGAGAGAAAAAGCTAAGGGATCACACCCAGGCCCTGAGTTCAAGCCCAAGTACACACTCTCTCTCTCTCTCTTATTCTGTTTCACACACACACATACACACACACACACTTTATATTTTCTGAACATTGCTTAATAGTATTCCTCCCAAATTTCATTTTTCTTCAGCTTTGTAATTAAGCAAAAAATACATGAAAGATGAGTAAAGGATCTTTTCCTCTGTTCCCCCTGCTCAGGATTCCTGCAGTAAGGCAAACAGCCCTCTAAACATGGAGTCCATCTCCTTTCTTTGAGGGTAACAGACTTTGTGCTGGATTTTGTTGCTTTTCCTTGACAATCTGACCGGCTCTGGTCACTCCTAAGTTAGCCTTTGCACCCCATCCCAAGGGAAGTGCCAACTCCAGCCATCTAGTCTCCCTGAGAGGATAGACAATTGGCTAACACTCTTTGTTGTCTCCGGGAGACCAAACCAAATCATTTCAGAAAGTGCTATTGAAGCGCACAATGAACTTGCAGCTGCTTTGGGGCAGGCCCACCACCTCCCAGCCGCTAGCTCTCAGATACCTTCCCGGCAGCTCTTCCCATTAGCATGGACTGCAGGCCAGACCACTGAAAGAGGAAGTGTAGTTCTGTCCCCAAGGTCTTGGGATGACTCTGCTAGATGACCAGGGTTAGATTCAGACAACAGCACATCCCAGGCCCCCACCCACCCAGGCCATTTTAACCCAAGGAGCCTTTGTCAAACATTTAAGATCTTAATCAATCTTCACTCTGACCTCTCAGACCCTGAGGAAGATGGATGAGGAAGTAGGCGACCTTTCACCTGTTCTTCTATTTGTCCTGCCACAGTGAACCCATTCAGAAGACAATGGGGCGGAGCCAGCTGCCAGAGTTCTGAAGATCTGGCCCTTTCTCCTTTATTTTTCTCCTTAAGCTCTCTTTACATTCCTGGTCTGGTCACACCCCCAAATCACTTGTCTCCCTTTCAAAGGAAAGTCCTCTTTCCTACTGAAGAAAGGAAGATAGAGAGAGAGACCTAGAGACAGAGACCTAGAGACAGAGACAGAGACCAGGAGGGGAGAGGAAGATCCTCCCCAGATAGCAATACGATTTTGAATATAAAGCATGTGAACGGGTGTGAGCTTTTGCTAGAGCAAGGAAACAAGGCTGCTTCCCATTCTCTCTTTGACTTCAGAGTGGATGAGAGGTAGGTTTCCCTTTCATTATTCCAACTCAACAAAGTTAAAAGTTCTGTCCTTGAGAAGGGCAAACAGTAAAAGAAATGTTATCATTGTCTCCTATGCAGTGATTTTATGATCAAATAGGAGACTTGATCATCTGTAGTTTGTCTTCCTGGCAAGTTTATGAGTTAAATATACTTCTTGTCCTATTTTTAAGATGGACAAACCAAGTTACAGTGAGACTAAAAAATACACCCGAGTGGCTGGTGGCTCATGCCTGTAATCCTAATTACTTAGAAGACTGAGATCTGAGGATAGTAGTTCAAAGCTAGCCATGGCAGAAAACTGAAAAGCAGGAATTGGAGCTGTTGTTCAAGTGGCTAAGGAACAATGCCTAAGCCCTAAGTTCAAGCCTAGTATTGGTGTGTTCATGTGTGTACACACACAAACGCGCACACACACACACACACACACACACATCCACAAAGGAAAAGAAATAGTTCTACATCTACGTGATCATTTGTGAGCAGAAAGAGAGGCATTTTCTTGACTCCATACTTCTTTTTCTGCTCAGCCTGATGCTTCTGACAAAACTCATAATGTTAACCATTTTCCTTGTTCTGGAGATTTTTATAGTGCTTGGTCATCTTTGAAACTCTTATTTGAAAAATCTCTTGTCATTCAGGTTTTTCCTTCTTCCCTAAATTAATCAGAGATTTTCCACTTAAGAGAAATAAAAAAAGAAGTGCAGAATTTTGTGCTAGGATCATCTTCTTGAAAGAACTAACCATTCCAACGAAAACAAGACACAGTTGTAACCGCCCCCTGCAGAACCTATGTGCAAATCCAAAAGGTTCTCAACATTCACACAAGTGACTCATGAGATAGCTGGCCTACAGTTAGAACACAAGTTGCTCAGAAATGTACAGGCCAGGCCCTCTCTTTCTCTGAATCACATGATTACCTGGCTACCCAAGATGATTTCCAGAAAGCAAACCACTAAAATGTTCAATTGCCTTTACATTTACTTCGCCCACCATCTTTTTCTCTTTTTCTTCTAATTTGTGGTGTAAAGATGTCAAGGGGTTCCACAGTATAGCAATGTATGACTTACTGAGCTTATGACCATTGAAAATCAATAGCATTAGGAACAGGGAGATGAGCTAATGCTAGAAGGTGAGCATTGTAAGCAGGAAATGGAAGCCAGTGGGGTTTCATTTAAAAAAAAAAGCACATAAAATGTCAACATGCAAAGATGTGCAAAGTCCTATTTTACAGAAATCAAGAAGGCAGAATAATTTACTCTAGAACATGACAGGGTGCCATGGACCCATTCAATGCACTGCCCTTACCAGATCAATATAAGTTAGTTGCCAATAGAAATGCAGTTACATATTTTCTAATATTAATACCAGAACATACTTCAGGGTTTCAGCTTGGTACAGCACAATGTTTGCCAAGTCAATCAAGAGCAAACAAGCAAACCAGAAGAGTGAGGAGTGAATCTTGATAGATAACTTTAGATTCTAATTTGCAAATTTGCATGATAACAAGTTTCCCTTTTTCACTCTAAGTTAAAAAGAAAAGACAGGCTGTGTCTTCCTTCTGTTTTATTTACAATGAAACTATAGGACATTCAGTGCTGGTAGCCCTAGAAGTAACTGGAGCAAATGAGTAGTTGCTATTGGAAAAATATAAATTCTGAATGGAGAAACAAACAACCGTAGGAAACCAAATTACCAAAAATGCAATTTTCTTTCGGTTATGACTTCAGATAGACTCAGTCATCCAAGTGTAAGACCCTGTAGTTAATAGTACCCTGTCATTAAGATGGCTGAAATGCCAGACAAATTGTGTGGCAGCTAGTTATTTAAGGCCCTTTGATCACCACAGCAGATGAACCATGTGGCAAAGCAGTCGATAGCTTAGCCATCACCAGAAGAGAAGAAGCTGTGTTCCATGAATGGGATCACAGTTACATAACCGTCATTTACTAGCAATCCTAACAGGGCAGGTAATATTAATGAGCACTAAATATAAACACCAAGTAAGACAAAACTTGTAATAACTGATATGCTTAAGCTTTCATTTACACGTGGCATGAACCATATATATTGACATATATATGCCATATATATGTGTATATATATATATATACACACGTACATACACACACACACACACACAGCCATATATAAGTATAGGCTACAAACTCCCCAGGATTTTACAGAACAGGAAAATAAATAAGTCAACAGTGAATTTCACACACTGAACTTCAGAAATGGGGGGGAAAAAAGCACCGTAAGTAAGATGATAAATAGTAAATTAACACAATAAAAACTTTATTTTTTTTCAAACATTCAATAATCCAAACAGATTGCAATTTACTGTGATTGCTCCTGACCACAGATCAAATAAGCCTCTCACTAACTCTGTTATCTTCTCCTAAGAGGTATAAAGAGATCCTTAGTCAAGATGAATTTCTCTTAAGAGACCCTATCCAATGGCTGTTCAGGGGAACAGAATATACTTGAGATATTCTTACTCTACTTTGTCAGAGCAGGGGTTTGAGTCAGAGCTTCTTGGGCTTACAAGTGCACTAATACTCGAGCCACACCCCCAACCCTAGTTACTTTCCTTCTTTGACAGGAGCAAACAACAGGACTTCAGGACTTTGTTCCCCTTGCCTGAGGGGAAGAATCAGTTGGAGGGAGAATTAGGACATGACAATCCTGATTTCACTTTTAAATCATTCATGATCAGATACTTCAGCTAAAATATATATATATATATATATATATATATATATATATATCCATCTTTGTCATTTTACCAGATCCAGATACAGGCAATCTCTGGCTCCAAAGCAGGTCCACTGGGTCTCGGGTCTTTAAGTAAGAAGCAATGAGGCTCACAGGATTGTCCAGCTTGTTCATTTACATTTCAGAGGGTGCATCAAGCAGGCTCAGACCTAAGTGCCTGGCTAGCAAATGTGCTTGGCCTTCTGTGATCACACAGCAGCGTCTATTTCAGTATTAGAAACGTCTTTGCCTCTCTGCAGGGAGCTCCCACACGTACTCATTAGACCCCTCTGCCCCACCACATCCCACAGGGGCTGCTAATTACTGGCTTTACTCCATTTAGTCTCATTTCTGATTTAATTACGTACACTAAGCCCTAATGAAAAAGTACAATATGGCTTCTCTTACCTTGGCATTCTCCATTCTGCTCCTCATGCCCAGCATTGCACAGGCAATTGCCAATTGGTACCAACCATTCACCATCTGCCCCACAGTACATTTTTGGCACATCCTTCTCTTCTGAGTTGTTGACACAGGAGCCACGAACTTCCACCAGGGAAGAGGTGTCAGCCCCCGTGATGGTGTCTGGAAACTGGGCAAGATTGCGAACCGTCAGGGGGCATTTCTTGTAGAACACACGGACCGACACCAGGGCGATGCAGGCTCCGACATCCTGAAAAGCCAGGTAGAAGCCCTTTTTGCTCAGGGGCCCCACATCCCGGATCTCGGTGTTCAGCTTCATGATTCTGTCGCCAATGTCCACTTGGGTGAAGCTCTCATCAGCTGCAATGGTGTCAATCTTGCCAAATTGGCTCTCTCTGATGAAACGCTCCTTGTCGTTGTCCGACTCATAGTAGTACAGGTTAAATGTCTCCTTGCAAGTCCCCATGACACCAGGAAGACTGTTACAGTCCCTCAAGGTAAACTTAATCTCAATGTACACCCTCTGAGCCCCCTCGCGGGTAATCCAGTCAGTTCTCAGCCAGTTATTCTGGCTGGGTTCCATCACATTGCACACTTGGTAGGTTCGAATGGGTGTGTTTTTTTCATCCATAATGCTCACTTCCTCCCACTGCAAAGATCCAAAGGAAATATGTCAGTTCCAGAGTTCTCTCATAAAGTGAATTGTCCGTTCTAATTTACAGTCATAGGACACTTTCCACAATGAGGAAAACTCCTGCATTACTGACCCTAATAAATAAAGCATCTAATGAAATAGAGACCAGAAAATCTTTTATTGAGGAAATACTGTTGTGTGTGTGTGCGTGCACACGTGTGTTTAATTCTTTCACTCTTTTGCCTATGTGAAGAATCAAGAATAGATTGATTGCCTGTGTTCTCAAGCAGTTTCTCAAGGTGTTCGGATCACCTCGAGTTCACCTATTACAACAGCTACAGTTTCAAATGGCAACGGTTCAGATTCACTCATCAATGAAAAAGCGAGTATGCAGAGTGTTTCAAGCACTAAACAGAAACCTGCAAATTAAGAGCAGGAAGAGCAGAACTTGCCAGAGGAAGACAATTATCAGTTAATTAGTGGTGTTCCTGTCTGAACTTTGCTCTCTAATACCTAAGAAACGATGGCAAATTGATTTTTTTGGCACCATCACTACTCTTTAAAGGGGAAAAGAAAATCCCATGATTCTGGCTTCTCTAATCCTCAAGACAGTAAATTTTATGGTTGGGTTTCCTAAACACTCCGTGTCACACAAGTTGAAAGTATTGCCAGAGCATGCATTCAATTAAAAAAAAAAGTTTGTGCATGCTCTTATTGTTTAAAATGAAAACACACCAGTAAACAAGACTGAAGGTGTGTTTTGCTTCCAAGGAATGAGTGAATACTGAAACTAAATTAGCAGTGATCTTTATGACTGAAAGTCCGAACAGGAAAAATTAAAGGAGCCCAGTAGTGTGTTTCTTTGCATTCTCCTTCAGAACACAAAGATATTGCTGGTAGAGCAACCTGAATTCGGAGGAATTCACTATGATCGAAGTGATAAGCTCTCTCTCATCTCATCCTAGCTTTTAAAAATGGAGTTCTAAAAGCAGCAAGACAACCAGTGCTCCTCTCTTCTCCAGCTTCTGCTGGTTTAGTAGTCAGGGTCCAATTCTTCATTAATATCTACAGTAATGCATTGATATAGATCGGGCATTCATCAGCTTAAGTACCTCACACACAATATAATTAGAAGGAGAAAAAAAGCAATAGTTTCTTCAAAATTTGTATTCTTCAATAATTCTCCACTTAAAAAGCTCTACTGAACCCAAGGAAGTCCATACCATCCTAATGTATCTTTTAACCAGTCTGTGCATTGGAAAACTATTAATGAATGGAAACATTACTTACTATGCAAAGGGCCATAATGTATAAAATTTTCTATTCCTTTCATCTTCTACCATTATGGAAGTTGGAACTGGGAGGAGTAAGTGCCCTGTGGTGATTAAAATTTCTTTTTATCTAGTAAGCAATAAATCACTAGTAATTTACGTATTTGGGGGAAGTTCATGTAAATCTAAAAGTAGAGCTTCACCTTCAAAAAAAAGACCTATTCAGCATGCTTCTCATCTTAGAACAAAGGGAAAACAGAAACACACATTTATCAACACAAATGAAAGCACACAGAAGTATTTCTACGGAGCCCAGGCCTGGTAACTCAGGTCTCCTGCAGATCTGTGAACGTTTCCAATCTGAATTTAATTGTCTAACCACTTTGATCAGTTCACCAGAACAATCAAGGATCTTCCCTTACTTTTGTATTTTTACAAGCAGCATTGGCAATTCAACATACCACTTTAAAAGAAGGTTGCCAAGATATCAGCAATGTGGCTATCATGAGCATATAACCTTCCAGTATTTTCATGTTTCTGCCTAGATGTTTTCACCTAGAGTAGTGAGTTGTCTGACTATATTTTACTCCATGAAATTGTCAAATCAGGTTACATTTTAGAAATAACATCAGTCAAAACAAGTTAAGTGTCATTAGCAGACAACTATCCTTTGCTCTGCCAGCAAAGATGTGAAATGTTCTAACTACAAGTAAAGATTTTTTTTTTAGAATAAGACTCTGTGCTTTTACCTCAGCTAGAGAACTTTTAAAGACAAATTATCTCTAGTTGCTTCAACCTTTTACTCTCAGCCTGAAAATGTCTTCTTTAATGATATACTCTATGAAGATTTTGTAAATTTGACACAGGTTCTCCACAGCAGTTATATTCTGGAATGACTGTATTGCACACAAGTCAAATTTCATTTCTTACCTCAAATATTTAAATTGTTACATCCCTAATATTCAATGAAAAAGAAAATCTGTATGTAACTCTTCATGGGCAGTTCTGTGTTACATACAATATGCATATATATTCCTTTCTTCACATTCAAAAGAATGAAGCCAAGTATGTTTGCATGTGTGCACGCATGCATGCATGCGCATGCACACACGCACACACACACACACACACACACACACACTTCAAGACAAAGGAAAGACATTGTGTCTAGAAAAAAGTGGCCAGGTGCTCTTTCACTGAAAGATGTCCACCATCTATTATATTGCACTAAAAACTTTCTAGAAATTATAGCAACCACAGATACTGTACTCTCTCACGTATGTCATTCCTTCATAGTATGGTGAAACAAAATTCTCCCTTCAAACTTAAGAATGGCCTAAAAACAGTAAGAGTTGTTAAACTTATTAATTCAAGGAAGACACCGTTCATCTTCAATTTTGCTGGCAGGTTTAAAACATTCTGGCCTATACAGCTATCCTCTCAGTGTAGCCTGGGAAAGACTCGACTGAGTCAGTGACCTTTCCAGGGTATAGGATTAACAAGGAGTCTGACTCTCACCAAGATAAAGCTGTACCTTTCTTCACATTCAAAGGAAGAGGGCAATTGCCCGCGATCAGCACTGAATACAGCCTGTCTACACTGCCAGAGGCCTGTCAATCACGCTCCCTTCCCTTTAAAAAAAATGGTTTTGGGTGAAGATTAGAAGTTTTCAGCAAAGACCAATCCAACAGCTGGCAGTCAAGTTCAGGCAGAACAAAACCAAAAAGCAAAACAGGAAGTCAAGGCAATCTTCATTTTACTTCAGAAGGACAAAAGGATCTGCGGACGATTTTCTTACCTCGTCTTATTTCTGAGCCACATCTTCTATAACAGCTCCTATAAATTGTTTTTGTTTGTTTGTTTGTCTTGTATTGTTCATTAAATTATGGGAATGGAGCACTGCTCTGGGTTCTGACAGTACAATTTTTGCTTAGTATAAATTCCTCATCTTTCATTCTTAGGCTATCAAGCATGTGAATGTCAGATGATTTGCTTAGTTTTTAAAGGATGTGAGAGTTATTTCAATTTGGCAGAAATTACAGTTACATGGTGTACTGATTTCTTCCCAAAGATGATTCATTCTGACCTGTTGTATTAAGGGGGATTGTGATTCATTCTGACCTGTTGTATTAAGGGGGATAGAAAATGTGGCCATTGACCTGGTAGAATCTACTAGAAGGAATAGCTAGACCTGGTATGAACTACAGAGTCCAGAAAACATGAACAAGGGATTTGATCAATTTTTCATACTTTCTAACCAAGCCTCTGTACTTCTGTGGTCCATGCTCCAAATGCTTAACCTGCTTGTGTTTAACAGCAAAAGAGCCCAAGCATGGCATTTTCCCTGGCACAATTCACAAGGTTTCCATTCACCTGCAAAAGAAAACAGCAGCAAGGTGCCAGTGGCTCACCTATCCTAGCTACTCAAGAGCTGGGCTGAGATGTAAACATCTCAGTTTGAAACCAGCCCAGAAGAACTTTCAGGAAAGTCTGTGAGACTCTTTATCTTTATTAAGCACCTACAAATCCACAAGTGGAGCTACAAGAATGCTTGCTCCTCTTGTGAGCTTTTAAAAGAAAGCTTAAGGACAGAGCCCAGACCTTGAGCTCTACAGGAGGGGGGGAGAGAGAGAGAGAAAGAAAGAAAGAAAGAAAGAGAGAAAGAAAGAAAAGAAAGAGAGAAAGGAAGAAAGAAAGAAAGGAAGGAAGGAAGGGGGGAGGAAGAGAGGGAGGGAGGGAGGAGGCGCTAGTCATGATACTAGGTAAGGAGCCTCTGGTGTCCAATATCCCCACTCCCTTTGGGACTTCCATTCACTTTCTTCATTTGAAAGAAGAACAACTGCTCTAAAATTAACTCCATCAGGACTTCATGGCCATCATAGTAATAGGCATAAATTCTAATTTGGTCCCTGGCTCCTATTTCGTGTCGGTATTTTAGTTTTAAATAGGCATCGAAGTCTATGCCTCTACCAATCTCCTAATTTTGAAACCCCCTTCTGCCCTTTTGGTTTCTAGTTCTTCCATGACAGAACCATCCAAAGGGAGTATAGGATTTCCCCAACAAAGCGTAATTCACTTCATAAGCCACCATGGAAATCTAACCCCCTTGCCACAATCACCAAGAATCAAGCCATTAGGACTCAGAAAGTTGCTAATCACTGCCCTCCGCCCCTTTGCCAGGAGAGCAACTCACAACTTACCCCTCCTTCCAGAGGACTTGCTATCCACCCAAGTTCTCCTTGAACAGATCTGGAATCCAATAAAGTAACTGTATAAAAAACAAAGAAAGAAAGAAAGAAATGGGGTAGGAAGATAGATTAATTTCCAGTTGCAAAAACAATAGTACAAAAACCATTTGCCTGAGTGTTCCCATATGCTTCCAGGATGCTCATATCTAACCTAATCAAAACCTAAACTGGGTCTCACTTATGTAAATAATCATTACTCACTTGATCTTCTCTCCCCTCTTTAAATCTGCAGGTTCTTATTTATTTAACTTGCTTAGCATTTAAAATTCCATCGCAGGGCTCAATTGATTCATTTTCTTTCAAAAAAAAAAAAGAAGGATGAATAGAGAATCTCAAGTCCAATTCAGAAAAATAAATATATCCGTGTAGGCAGTAACACTGAGGAGTAAAATCGGCATTCATCTCTGTCTGGTATCTACTAGAAGTATTTGTTTTTGCAAGCTTCGGATGACCGTATAACTCATCATCCTGTGACATTCACAAGTGAATTCTACCAGGGTACTCCAAGAGTCAGGGAAAAGGCTCTCCTAACATCTCCCGCCACTCCACCCCCGCCAGTCAACCAAATAAACAGGCCCTGGATG